TATAAAAAATTAAAAATATAATTAAAAATAATAATATACTAGCTTATAGCAAGCCTTATTTATACTTAATTTTTTAATAAGTTTTATAATATTATTATATTTTTTTAAGTAAGTAACTAGTTATAAACTAGTTAAGCACTAGTTTTTAACTAATTTTTTTATTAATTTATTTTAGTACCCTAGGTTTTATTAAAAGTAAGGTAGTGGGCTACTTATAAGGCTATAATAGTAATTTTTATTAATTTTAATTTATACTATTTATAAATACTATATATATATTTTAAAAAGGCTTATTTTTATATTAATACTAGCAAGAGTACCTACTAAAAATTATATATTTTTATTAAAAAAAAGCTATTAATTATATAAGCAATAACTAGGTAAGGACTAGTTTATAATTAGTTAATATTTAATTATTAATTAATTAACTTAATACTTATATTTTAAATAAATAAAATATATCTTAATATAATACCCGGGAGATATATAATATTATATATAACTTTTAAAATAATAATAAGATAGCTTAACTTATTTTAAAGCTATAATAATAATATAAGTTATATAAAAATTTTTTAATTAATTTTTTACTAAACCCTAACTTATTACTTATTAAACTTTAACTTATTACTAATTAATTATAGTATAAAAATAAAAATAAAATATAAAAAATAATATAGCCCTTAATATAAATTTTAAAAAAAAAGCTTTTACCCTAAAATATAAGGTTTAGGTAAAATTTATATTATTTTTTAAAATTTTAAAATAAAGCTATTTTAAATTAATTTTTAAATTTACTACCTTATAGTAAAGGCTATAATTTCTAAGCCTTAGGTATTTTATTTATAACTAGTTATAATTTAATTACTAACTAGTTAGGTTATTACCCTTTATAATAAAAATAATTATATAAAATTAAGCTAAGTTACAAGCCTAATTAAAATTTTAAAAATAATTAGTTATAGTGCAAAAGCAGTACTTAAAAAATTAAAAGTTATTTTTAAAAAATACTTTAAAATAATAATTATTAATTAATTAAAAACTTATTACCCCCTAGTTACTTTACCTACTAGGCCTAAAAAAATAATTATTTAACTTATTATATATAGGCTTAATTAATTAAGCACTAGTTTTATTTAAAATTTAATAAGGCTTAACTTTTTTAATAACTAGTTAAAAACTAATTATGCCTATGCTTAGCTTATTAACTAGGTTTTTTTTTATAATTAGTTAGGGACTAGTTAGTCCACCCCTAGCTTAATTTTATTAATTATTATATTTTTAGCCCCCTATAACTTTATAAATTAGTAGGTTACTATTATTATTACTAGTTTTTAATAGCTTTTTTTATAATAGGGCCTAGTTACTAGCTTACTACCTACTTTATCTTTATATTTATTACTAACGCCTAGCACTTACCCAACTAATTATTAACTAGTTTATAACTAGTTTAATAAAAATATTTTTTTTTATTTTTTTTTTTCTTAATTTATCTCTTAATTTATATTTAAACTATATTATACTTATATATAAAATAAATAAAATAAATAAAATAAATAAAATAAATAAAATAAATAAAATAAATAAAATAAATAAAATAAATAAAATAAATAAAATAAATA